TTTTATCGGGTCTGGTAATAAGGAAGATCCTCGTGTAGGTACACGAGTCATCGTACATGATAAGAAACCGGGGGTGCGAGGGCGGAAAGGGCAGAATTGAATTCTGCCGCCTGCGTCTCGAGGAAAGTGCGGTATAAGGAGGACGTGCCACTTCCGCGAGTAATTGACGCTGATTAAAATTCCATGGAGAAGAACCACCGGTCTCTTTCTCTAATGCACGTGGTAAACCGGAAAAGCCGATCGCCCATCTCTCGACTGATCGCTTCCCGGAACACAATTGTCATGGAGATATCTTCAGGAACTGCTTAAATCTCTGCCTACCTGATTGCGTTCTTCCTAGATCTCGTTGCAAATAAATAATGACCGACGATAAATTAATAAATTTATGCCTAATTTAGGTCTCTACGTGCTTACAATGCGAGTTTCATGGATGATAGAGGATGCCTCTGAAATAGATACGAAAGTTAACAGTTGAGCTGTACATTCGATGATTCAATAATTTCGCGATTAATATTATAGCCTGTTAAATGCTGCAAATCCTGTTTTATGTATGCGTATTAATCAGCAGTATAAAGGATATATAGTTAGCAATAATAAACCCTCCCCGATATTAGCACATTAATGAACTCTGTTAATTGTGAGCCGCTAAGCTTTCAATATTGGAAACTTTATTAATCATTCGCGTTACCGGCGATACGAGGACGCGATGATAGCTTCGAAGTGTGTTTAACATGAATTCCGTGTTTCGATTGTAATGCATTTTTCATCGATATTAATTGGTCTCTACCGCGATTTAACAGGATAACAATACCTCCCGGCCAGCCGGATCAATCACGGCGCGTAGATTCACGCAATCGTCAATGATATCACGTTTCGAGTATTTACTCGTAACCGGCGGAGCGTGGGTACCATGGGCGAGGAAATTCGAGCTACGGTAGCATCGATAATAATCGATGGAGACGCTTGTTAGCTAATTTGACGATACGCGAAGGAATTTCCGGAGCGAAAGAAATCATCAGACCCTCGACTAGCAGCTCGACGAGAATTCCTTTTGTTCCAGTGCAATCTGAAATGGTCGTTATGTACATTGAGAGACAAAAGTCCTATGCGATGAATTTTATGCTCCGCGTCGAGAGAAAAATCGTGGAAATTCATATAAATGAATAATGTATTAATACGTTTAGTGAAATAATTTCGTGACTTTAGGACTGAATTAGCAGTTATCGTATAGAATTATTTATGAGCATGTTTAATGCACTTCAAATCATAAGGGTACTAGTGAAACGTAAGATGGCCTGCTTTTTACAGAGCATCTTTGTTTTTAGCTCACGTTGAAGATAAAATGCGGAACAGAAAGAAGTCGTTACACCGTGCGATAGGAACGGTTGTCGGAATTGCCGTTGAAATCACTGCTTGTCAGCGCTCGACAGCGCGACGCGTCGCCGAATCTTCTCGTTCCGGTTTCGCCCTCCGAGACCTTAGTTCTCAGCTATATGCATAGATAACAAGTGCATTATACCGCGTAAAATCTGAAATGCATAATGTATTCGTTGTGTCTGTGTCAGCCGCACACCGCGCAACGACGTGTACGAGCATTGCCACTATCCTTGTGCGTGCGCGTGTATGTATATGTATGTATCCGAATTTACATATTTACAATATGGGTGTGTACACAAGCCTCGACAGAGAAGGATCCCTCTCCTCAGACATAATACATAGTCGCTCTTTTACCGGTCTTAGCCCGCCTTATTTTCGCGGAAGCATCACCCGTTCGGCTCCTCTCCCCTCGTGGTCCCCCTCATCTCGTTTCACCCAACAGATTACCCGCCTTTCGAAAGTACGTCGTACATAAAATATGATGTTCGAAAAATATATGGCCCCTTATCCGGCGTGTAGAAGGATTTTCGTATCAGTGCTCCTATTTTCTCCGCAGGATTTACTGTTTATTACGATTACCAAGCAGTACGAATATAAAGAACTCCGCGAAGTATGTCTCAACCGACTGTGTGCGTGCTCTGAAAGAAAGATAACTGCGAGAAAACTTCGTTCCGCGGTGAGACCCGATTTTGCTCGGGAACTCCCGTAAATTCTCCTATTGTCATTAGCCGGAGGCGGCCTTCTATATTACGGGTGTTTTACGACCGCGAGTTATCAAGCGCGTAAAACGTTTTCATTCAGCCGAAAGATGGTATTTCGCGATTGCGGAACGGTCGGTGCGAGCAAATCGGTATTAACACCGTAGACAATTGTTAGACGATGTCGGTATTGTTCTTTTCATTTTACTTTCTTTCTTTTTTTTATTCGTCCTCTGCGGAAAATTATGGTCGGGTCAACAGAATTTCCTCTCCTATTGTTATAGCCGAAAGCTCGTATGGTTAGACTATTGAATGCACGGTGGATTTTTTCGGTCGCTTTTCGTCCGTTTGAACATCGCACTGCAACCCCTAAATGCCAACCCCTGCGCGCGCGCGTGCACGTGAGAGAGAATAGACGGGCCGAAGAATGGGTTCTGATTCTGTTCCCGTTAGAAACGGAGGTGCTGACGATGCCATTTGTCGAACCCGTATGACTACCTACGTGTACGTACAAGCTTCAGGTGCAAATTCATACGTATAAGGGATATTATCGTATCCTTCATGCTGAACAACGTCTTTTTGTTTGCTCGCGTTCTAGGAAATTCAATTAATCTTCCATTTAAATATTAAATTCCTTCAATCGTAAACGAATCCTACTCAATTGACTAAGAACTAAAATAGTAAAATAATATCTGAGTTTCTTTTTTGCAATAGACTTACCTGGCTTATGTTTCTCTTTGTAATTATAAAAGAATTTCATGAAAGAGTTTTCTGATTTTTATTAATCGGATTATTACAATATTTTGAGGTATCTATATATGTAAATAAGTACTTACATGTAGATATACGTATATATGTATAGCTGGTAAAATTCTGAGGTAGCAACGAATTCATTTATATGGTTAATATTTTTTACAGTCATTGTACTTCTGTTTGTTAGCAACACTAATGAAACGCACAAGTAGAAAATAACTACAGTAGGCGTTTTACTCAATTACTTTTTTTACGTTTGTTCGTTTGCCGTTCTATTGGTTTCACGTTATGGCGGTAATAAGGATAACGATAACAATAATGCGCGTTGCATAGACAAGTTCCGAGCGAAAGAAACTCCCCGAGGTAAAGTAGCTCTCCTTCGAATGTGCTTGTAACTTCCACTGGTCGTTAGTGGCGGTATCGAGGGGGATGTTTCCTCACGGTTCGCTACTTTAGAGTTGCAACAGCCCGGCAGGGATGTAACGAGTTTTGCGTGCTCGACGACAATTCTGCAGTTAAAAAACGATTGAAATTCAACAAAGTTCCTTTCGTGGTTTCTGTTTCAAATAAAACTAGTCAATTCGTGTTGCAACATACGTTTTATATAGAATTATACCTCGCAACTTAGTATTAATATTTTATAATTTATTCATAGTGTTAAGTATAATGTGATTAACTCGTATTACACTAAATAAATTTTATTTGAATATTGAAATATTTCATTCTTTGCATGAAAACATAAAATATGGGAGGAAATTATAAATATTGTCATACATCTACAAGGACAGATAATCTTTAATAAAACTAAATTAAAATTGCAAAATCAGTTACATTTACGATATTACTACGTAAATTTTGGATAGGAAATTAGGAATTATTATTCGTATCACAGCCACAAAAATGATTTGATAAGATTTCATACGGTTGACTAATAGAAAATGTTTATTACTATTATAATTTCTATTTATTATGGCTCGTAAGTAGAAGTTCTAGTTGTGTCAAGCCTCGAGCGCTGATGTCCCCACACAATTCTTGATTTCGTATCATTTTGACAAGAATTGCGTTTGGACAATCATAGCCTGAGACATTCAATTCCCTCCGGGATGTTCCGCTCGGCGGTTCACGTCGCGCCGTCGTCGTCGCCGCGGCGTTCGGGAAATTGCTTCGATGAGATTTTGCGCGTGGTAATCCAGGTCCTCGCGGGTATACTCTCCCGGAATCGGGGCTGAAAAAGAGAAGCAAGAGAGCATTATATATTTATTCTAGATTAGTCGTCGTTGACCTAGTTCTCTTGCCGAGCGAAGTACTTAGCCCACTTTGTCGCCGCTTCTCGTCCTCTTCGCCGCGTTGTTTGGGGAAAAAAATCTGCGCGGGCATGCACGTGGCTTGCATTTAAAGCTTGTTAGAAATTAAACCATTGCGAAAATATGCAAACGAGCGCGTGATAAAAATTACCGCGGAAATCAAGTTAGATTACATCGTTATACCCTCGCCGGTTGTTCGTTTCACATGACGCGACGCGTTGCACGACGATGTATTCCCCTCTGGCACTCCGCGTTAAAAACTTATCTTGATGGCGCGCGAATTAAACTGTCGATACTCTTTGATTACTAATCACGATGATTGGTGGTTGGGTTAGGGACCCGATTGAAAAACTCACCCTCGCAAACTCCAACGTTGTGTACGCGACCATCGCATCGGGATCACCGGGATGCGTAATTACGTTACTTCGTCTTACTCAATCTTGATCAATCAACTGCTATTCAGAGCAAATTAAGGGGAGCAGACAGAGGGAGGGAGGATTTGCGTGAAAGGGCGTATCGGTTCTATTGCCTTCTTTTATCGCGTTTTTACCCGCACCTTTCTGCTTTTTTCACTTTACATCTCAATAACGTCAGCCGTTCAATCATACACGCATTCTATCCCGGCGGTGCTCGTAGCTTGTGCTCTCCGGGGACCAGGGGGGAACGCGAGACAATGTTTGCCTAATTGTCCTCGACGCGAAATTAGATGCTCGATTTGTCAACGCCCGCTTAATATTCTACAAACGTATTCTCTCGATTAATTTTCCATTAAAAAGTTGACGCCGTAAAGAGTTGCAGCGTGTCTACCTTGGATCATTTCCATCCACGTTGTTTTTCTCCGCTGTAATACCCTCTTTTGTATTCATAGGCGACACAACGAGAAAGCCAGCGAAGAACACCGAGTAAGAAACTACTTCCGAGACAATTGGCCGATGATGAAAAAGTGGATGCGGCCCGGTGAACAGGGATCAAGATGGCCGAGTCAGAGGCGCCACGAGGTGAAACGAGGCGAGCAGATCGGTAAGTAGGTAGATGGATGAGCAGAGCGTAGTGGGTCGATGAGCGCGAGTGGTGTGGTCGAATGATTAGGTTAGCCGCCTCGGATGTAACTTCGTTACTCACCAAATGAACAGACAAAACCGAGCCGTCACCCCTCTCCCTGCTCCTTCGACCCCCATCTCTGCATAGATCCACCTCCGGTAGCACTTTATCCCGATCAAAGACGACGCTGCGGGCTCTGCGCTCAATCAATTTCGCTTGATCGTTCCGGCTGTTTCTCGATCAAGACGCCAACGAACGAGGACGGAGCCGACAGTTTCGCGAAGAGATGGGATCTCACGGGAATCGCTTCCTTCGACGAGGCGCAACGATACGCATGATAAATAGTTTCCCTGGCAGTTCGGCGAACATCAGCACGGATCACGAGATCCTACTAAATCCTTTCGACGTGAATACCCGGGGATTCGCTCGTTTCGTTTAATCGCGGATCTCCTCGGTGTGTCGCTCTACCAGCGTCGACCTCGAACACGTTCCGCGCTTCCGGAGCGCTTTAATTTTTTGATACTCACGTTCGTTTCCCTCTGCGTCTTCGACTATTGTGCGCGATCTTTTCGATATCCCAATACCGAATTTACGGACGCGCAGGTGTATAAATAGGGTCGGGCACGTGATCCAATATTTCAATAATTCACTCGGAGATTTTGAATGGTTTCCTTCGAGCGATATGTGTCGATCGGAGGGTATGAATTTCCACTGTTCCGCGGAGAAAAATAAAGAGGAAACGGGGAAGCCCGAAGGTGGAGATAAGTGAACTTTTGCGACATCGAGAGGATGGTCGAAGATGATGACGATGAGGAGGGGGTAAGGGGATGGGAAGACTGTCGTGGCATTGATCGACCACGCTGCCTCCATAGGATTGTTACTGTGGTCTCTTCAGCATCCTATATATGCCCTCGAGTTTCGGGAAGTAAATGGAATACGATAACATCGCGGTTATACCGTCGTCCAGAATATTTTATTATCATCCGACGCCGTATCAGCGATCGAAGAAACCAATAGTTTTGCGAATGAAATATTCGTACGATTATTGAAATCGATTATCGGCGAAACAAATATGCTCTGTTTAACCCGGGAGGGAATATCTAATAACAATGCTAGCATAGCAGTGACGAGCCGTTGTTTTCTCACGATAATCGGATCGTTCAGTCCGGGAGGAACGGAAGGAGACGGGTACGAATGTTCTGGGTCGGAGGGTCGCGTTTCCAGGCCATAGACGATTCCTTGATCCATCACGACGATCCTCTATGTCCGATATCGTCGAGCATCTCGGGTGGAAGTGACATCGTTTGCGGCCCTCCTCGAAATTCCGCTTGAACTCGTTGCAACATTCTCGGTAACGAGGGAGAGACATCTTCGGGATATAAAAAGGAAGCCGAGAGAAGAAACGTGCCGGGAAGGGGATGAAACTCGCCGGAACGATAGAACAAAGGGTAAGAAGAGAAGGCCGACAGGGTTTCGAACACGGGGGGGCGAAGATGCCGAAGAAAAGAGCATCGTCGTCGCTGGAATCGTTTCTGGTCGATTTTTTAGAAAGAGTCCGGGCTCCTCTGTGAAGCCTCGTGTAACTGGTAGCGAGAAGGTTACGGTGACTCCGGTACGCCGCGGTATGTCGGTCGGTGGCAGGTTGCGGATAGGACAAGGATGGTCGGATAGAGGTGAGAAGAAAGAGTGACAGTCAGATAGGCAAGCGGGCTTTCTCTCTGCACACGGTTCTCCAGTCTCCACCGCATCGGCGCGGGGTAAAACGAAGGAGACGAGGGAATTGAAGCGTGGTCCTGATGCCGGTGCTTCAACTCGCCCTCGGCCGGGGGCAGGGGAACACTTTATAATTGAAAAGCTTCGTTTAAATGGAACCGTTTCTCTCTTTATACCGTGCATCGCCGCGATTGCGAGGTAAGAGGACGACGACGCGACACGCCGGACGGATAAACAAATTTATTAAGAGCACGTTGAGGTTTCCCGCGCAGCCGCGCGTATTTCATTTCGCCCGGGACCGAGAACACGCCGTTTCGACGAAACTTCCTCGTGTCCCGCGAAATTGTGATGTTACGCGCCGCGTGTCTCTCGCGCCACCGTACTCTCCCCGACTCTAGACATGAAATAACGTTGCGGCAGAGAAAATTTTCGTTCAGGTTACACGGACTCGTGGAACTATTTGAACGTTTCTCATTAAAAGTTTTTTTTATGAATTTCTTTCCGTTATTACGTAACATTTCTGAAGTTTTCTTAGTATCGCAATGAAACTATCACGATTATGTTAGGAAAGTTTATTTGGAAGGAATTTAAAAATGTGGCTCGCATGATTTTAGATAATTTCCTTTAGTGAAGTTAAACATACAACAGCATAGACGTTCTCTATAATAATCGTTTATAAATACTTTTATGTAGAATTATGACGTATTGTCTTTCTTTTTTTATTTCAAGAAAAACATATTCTGGTTTTTCCCTTAGGGAAAGTCTTACTTTGATAGCGCGTCGGCAATTTTCTATCAAGCAGTTGCCTTCCACTAGGTGGTTTCTTACTCTCATCAAACCTCGATTCATCATCGTTCTTTGTACTCGGCGACTTCGAAATCCGAGTCAATCGTTCTATCCATCGGGACTTTCTTCTCTGTTCGCATTACTTGATTTCCGGCAGTCTTTCTGATCGCTTTAAAGAATAATCGATCGCGGTTCGAAGCACGTTTCGCGTTTAACTTCGATTTCCTTCCCGCGAACAAGTACCAATAAAATCACCGGGAAATTGTCGCGACTGAACTGTAACCTCTGGATCATTTGTCGAGCGCGAGCGAGGAAATGCTGCGTTAGAAACAAATCCTGCAGGTGAACGAGGAAAGAACGTCCGACGAAATGAGGGAAAGGATTTTTACGAGGCAATTGGAATGGTTCCTTCGGCAGACAGTGTTTTCGACTCTTGAAATTGAAAAACGCAGGCGAAGCCTTGTGCCAGCTTGGCTCGGGCTAACCTTATGCACGGCCAAACCGTTGACCCCGTAAATTGCGCGTTATTGCTTTTATGGATCCGAACGATTGAACGGGTCCGCGGAATGTCCGTAAGGGAAGCGAAAGGGAGACGGTGAATGGGGTATAGACTCCTAATACAGCTGGGAGATAAAAATCGCGCGCTCTACGTGAAACACATTCTTTCTCAAGAGCTTTTACTAACGCAACGTTCCACTGAAGTGGCTATCAATTTGTTTCGTATTACAGCCGCTCAGGAATATTGTTCTCGCGTCTTACAGCGCTCTTTTCCTCCTTTTCGTTCGTTCAAAAAATTGCGATCAGTGTGCGTTAAAAAAGGCTCAACGTTTCTACAACGAAACATAAAAATTTTGATGAGTTCTGCCGTACAAATCAATCTTCCCCGACATTGAATTCTATGATATGTTGTTCACATCGAGATATGAAGTAAAACTCATGTTAAACATTGCGAAACAATTTTTTCCTGATCGTAAAAATAATTTCGAAAATAAATTGCATTCGCAGTTATTTCCATATGAAAGTCATGAATCATTACTACGTATAATATCATCAGCGTTTAATCTCAATTTTTCTCTCAGCAAATTGGTTCGTTAATTAAGTTATATTCAAAATAATATTTTATATCATTATTTTTTATTGGGACATATTTCTCAAAATCTAGAGGATTGTTTTTAATTCGCAGAACAATCCATAATGCTGATTGAATTATTTGTACAGAACGTGTACGATTCATTAAAAATTTTTGCACGAATTCAGTGGCATGTTCAACTAGCGATTTCTCTTCGGGGTACGGTACATTACGTTTCGGAATACAAACGGCCGCGCGAATAATTATGAAAATTAGAGATTTCAATGAGCGATCGTTATCGCGCGGTGTTATTATTGTAATCCGCGTGAATGGTGTATCACGTCGACGTCGGGCGAGGATCGCTCGTTGAAACGGTAAAATTACGCCTGCGACGGTGCTTAATAAAATCAAGCATTTAGTTATTGTGCTAACGAAGCGACGCCGCCGTTAATTTCCTGCATAAATATCGTCAAGACTTTATTACCCCGTTACCTGTGGGAATTGTTAATGTCGTTGAATCAACCCAGCCTCCCACCCTCTAATGTTAAACTCGTACGTATACATCACGTTGTTACACATTATCAATTACGCGATTCGTATGCGCTCGTGATTAACGTCCCGGCGAATATTCTTTGAGGCTACGTTCACTTGGCAAATACCGCTCGCTCGTAAACGATAATACGATGCGTTAGACTGCTGCAGATGAAATGGCGCATACTATACTGGAAAAAGCAAATAATAGTTGTACGCATGTTGGTTTATAGTCTAGCTTGTATCCATCCGGAAATATGCTTCGGTTTAGTTCCTGTCTATTAATTACCTGTAAAACAATTGACAGTCTACATTAAAATACTTCGCTATTTAATACTACGTGCATCCTTTGTTTAGTTGACTTTTTTTTAATAGCAACTATGAGAAAAATATATATTCTTAGCTTTATATATAATCTCATGAGAATTATATGAATTCGAGCAATAATATTCCGAGAAAATGTTTGTAACTCTTCTCTATACACGTTTAATTGATTTTGGAGTTCGTGAAGAACAGAAATTAACACGTGAGATATTTCAAGCCTAAAATTTGTCGTTGTATATGCGCAGTAGTATAACATTTATTGCGTTGAAGATGTCGATGTCGATCGTACAGCGCAGCGCGTCTAAAAGCTTTTCCGTTACGGCATAGTTGATAGTTAGTAGGAAGCCGTTGATTTGTGTGACAGATCGAGACCACCGGGATCATGGCATTTATCGTGCCAATGTATTTCGTTTCCTATTCCATTGGGTGCACCAACTGTTTCCCAATAACGGTCAACCCGTATTCTCTTTGCACATGTACGTAGGCATATACGAGCGCGTTCATAGGTACTCCGTGATATATGTACGCTATATTCATTGTGTGTATACCAATAGAG